AAAAAAAAAAAAAAAGAAATTCTGAGGTGATTTTTTTCTTTTTTTTGGGGGGGTAGGAATGGAGTCTCACTCTGTCCCCCAGGCTAGAGTGCAGTGGCACAATCTCGGCTTACTGCAACCTTCACCTCCCGGGTTCAAGCAATTCTCCTGCCTCAGCCTCCCAAGCAGCTGGGACTACAGGCATGTGCCACCACACCCGACGAATTTTGTATTTTTAGTAGAGACAGGGTTTCACTGTGTTAGCCAGGATGGTCTTGATCTCCTGACCAAGTGATCCGCCTATGTCGGCCTCCCAAAGTGCTGGAATTACAGGTGTGAGCCACCATGCCCAGTCCTTTTTATTTTTTTGAGGGGCAGGCTGAGGCAGCTATATGGTTAAACTACTTTAAAAATAAAAATCTTTACGTGCTTTTTTTTTTGATACAAAGTCTTGCTCTGTCACCCAGACTGGAGTGCAGTGGCTCGATCTCCGCTCACTGCAACCTCCGCCTCCCAGGGTCAAGCAATTCTCCTGCCTCAGCCTCCTGAGTAGCTGAGATTACAGGTGCCCACTGCCATGACGAGCTAAGTTTTCTATTTTCAGTAGAGATAGAGTTTGCCATGTTGGCCAGGCTGGTCTTGAACTCCTGACCTCAGGTGATCCACCAGCCTCAGTCTCTCAAAGTCCTAGGATTACAGCTGTGAGCCACCGCGCCCAGCCTGCTTGTTCTTTAAAAAAACAACAAAAACCCAACATTACATGAAAATATGTCTTAGAAAGTGAAAGTCCCATAGAGAAAACCCCAGGCCAGAGAACAGTAATAGTGGGTTAAATAGAAAATTCTATTCCAGAATTTTTTCTATGCATATTGTACATTATCACTGTTTTATGGTTGCCAGAATGGAATTATTGTTCTTTGGGTACCTAACGGCATGTCCCTGACATCTGTCTGTGGCAGTGTTCACATAGCTCTGCCTTCTTCTTGGCACCTGCTGCATGATATTCTGTCGCTTGGTTATTTACTTACTTACTTACTTATTTATTGAGACGGAGTCTCACTCTGTCGCCAGGCGCCAGAGTGCAGTGGCGCAATCTTGGCTCACTACAACCTCCGCCTCCTGGGTTCAAGCACTTCTCCTGCCTCAGCCTCCCAAGTAGCTGGGACTACAGGCACGTGTCACCATGCCCAGCTAATTTTTGTATTTTTAGTAGAGACGGGATTTCACCATGTTGGCTAGGATGGTCTCGATCTCTTGACCTTGTGATCTGCCTGCCTCGGCCTCCCAAAGTGCTGGGATTACAGGCGTGAACCACCATGCCCGGCCTTGATAATTTATTAACAGCCTTTGCTTGTGGACATTTAGATCATTTCCAGTTAGTTATCGGGTTGTTACATGTACACATAGATCACACATCTTTACAGAGTTGGACAAGTCACTGTGGAAGGCTGACTTCTGAAGGTTGAGTTGTGAGGGTAACAAGTCACATTCATGAATTCCAGACCCATTTCTAGAATGTCAGGGTCACTCCTACCCCCACCCCCAGCAGCGACCTCTGGGTTCCAGGCCCTGGCCCCAGGTTCCCCTCTGCCCTCCATGGGCCTCAGCTTCCCAGACCACAAATGAGTTGGGCTGGTGACCTGTTGTACCTTGGAGCCTGTGACCCCTGGTGCACCAGGACCAGCTCCTACCCACTCACAGGACCAGACTGATACATTTCCAGGAGTTTTTCCAACTGGCTGTTACATGGCTATTACTATCTATTTTTTTTTTAAATCATGAATGTCCAAATTTATGTATTCCTGTTTTATGCCCCTGACTGTCACCTCTGCTCCCAATGTGATCTGCCCCTGCAGAGACCCTAGAGAACTAACCACTGGGTGCTACTGGGCATCGATTCCCAGCTCTGAGCTTGGGGAGCTGGTGGCTTGAAGTCAGCCAAGTGGGAGTACATACGCTGTGGAAATCCACGAACGCTATCCACAAATTGAGCCCCCTACCCTGTTGTTAATTATTTACAGTACCAGCACACCACTGCCTTTGATCCTTTAAAACCAGGCCCTAAACGCCTGCAAGGACCTTTCTCTAGCAACCAAGAGGAAGACAGTGTGACCACAGCAAGAAATGTGGGAGAGGGAAGCCTGGACAGCTAAGGAGGCAGATCCTAGAGCTGAGGCAGGGGCTCTGTCTTAGCCGTGTGAACTTGGCAAGTCAGAACCTCCATTTGCTCTTCTGTAAAATGGGGATGATGGCAGCAGCCATCTTGCAGGGTCCTTGTGAGCCATATTAAGAGGGGTTGCCCTGTCATACCTTGCTAGCAGCAAACATTTGGGGAGCTGTGGGCCGGGAGTCAAATCCCTGCTAAGTCACTTACTGTGTCTGAAACTCAGTTTCCTATCAGTCAGGTGGTGGGAAGAGCTTCAGAGACCCAGAATCAGGGACTCTCAAATGCTGTGGGGTGGGGAGGTGGGGAGAAGGTGGCTGCTCCACCTCCATTTTCCGCCCCCGTTCTCCCACACTGTTAGCTCACTTTTGCCCCTTTTCCCCCAGATCCCTCAGGAAGCCCCTGCATGCGCAGGTGGGTCAAGGGATGTCTACAGGACTGGCCAGCGGCTTGAGATGCCCGAGGGGTCGGGAGTAGGACGTGGGGGTGGGGGTCCCTGGCTCCTCGCCGCCCCTCCTCTGGTCAGTTTCAGAAAGTAGCAGAGGCCATGATGCCCTGGAAGAGTCCCCAAGCCGAGCAGTCCCACAGAACCCCTAACCTGGCCAGACCCCCTCCTGAACCCTTCCTGGGGATCAGGGAGCGGGGAGGGAGGAAGGGCAGGGCCCTGCAGCCTTGGCCTGTTCGAAGGGTTCTGGGAGCTGCTCAAAGGCCCTGGGCGGTAAGCTGGAGGAACTTAAAGCTAAAAATAAACAACACAGAAGTGACGAGCCTGCCAGAGCCCTCTCAGCAATGATCCTTTACCACCAACCTTCTCAGCAGCTCTGAGAGGGAAGGAAGTCTGTTATCCCCACTTTGCTCAGAGGCCCGAAGGCAGTACCCGAGATCACACCACAAGGAAGACCCTATGTGAGATTTGAACCCAGAGCCAGCACTCAGAGCCCAGGCTGTGGGCCCTCCTTCCCACCCATTCCTCCTTGGAAAACTCAAGGCCCAGAGAGGGCAAGAAACTCTCCCGGGGCTGCACAGCATTCTGGGACCTGGGCTTCCAGTAATGGAACACAGCTGGGAGAACAGACGCCAGAGGCTAGGGTTAAAGTGAATGAGTCAGCCCAGTTTGCCCAAGGCTTTCAACACCCAAAGTCCTGCATAACCATTTGGTTTCAGCAAACTGGGAGGATCGGTGACCCTCCAAAGCCCCAAGGATGGCCCTGCTGGGTGTGAGCTCAGGATATAGGAAGGAGGCCGGGTACACTTGGAGCCTGGTCTGTGCACCAGAGGCCGAGTCTCCCCACCCCGGGTCCCTGGACACCTACTTGCAAGGCTGAGGCTGCAGCTGGCCAGCAGCAGGACAACGGCCAGAGGGAGTGTGCCACGGTCCATGCTGTCCACGCAGGGGCCTGTGCGCTGGGCCTTATCCGGTGTCCAGGGGCAGGGCTGCAGGTGGGCGCCGGGGCCGGCGTGGGCTCGCGCGGGGACCCGAGGGGAGCAGGCAGCTGGAGCGACGGCGTCCCTGCTCCAGCCTTCTGAGGTGGCGGCCAAGGGATCAGGAGAAGTAGACACAGGGACGTGGGGCCGGGCCGGGGTCGCTGTCTGACGAATGGGCGGGGAGGGGGTGCTGGGCTCCAGGGGACGGCAGTGACGGCAGCAGTCCTGGCTGGGTGCAGATGGAAGCTGGGGTATGACCAGCAGCATGGAGCTCCCAGCTCATCCAGCCCGGCCCAGGGAGGCAGGAAATGCGCTTCCTTAGAGAAGGGGCTGGGCCAGGCCGCCTGCCAGGCGGGTAGAGGAAGTGCCACAGGCTTTGTCGCTGGGTGGGGGGCCCTGGGATGGGGGGAGGCAGTTGGATGGGGGGGAGGCAGTAGGGTGGGAGGGAGGGCCCAGGCTCTAGGCTTGTCTCCCTAAGCACCCCACCCTCCCATCCCACCCTCTCCAAGGCGGGTGGGTGGGAATGCATCAGGCAGCCCCACAGAAGAGAACAATCACCCTAACAGCCCACCGAGGAGCCCTTTCAGGGGGCTGGGCTTAGCTAAAGTAGTTTCTGTGGAATTCATGACCCTATGTGCTCAGTGATCCCATTTTGCAGATGAGGAAACAGAGACCTGATGTGTTGAGATCACTGGTCCAAGAAGATGGTAGTGCTGGGAGCCTGCCTACCTCCACCACCTCACGTCTCTTCAGGCACCAAACCCAGCCTACTAAGCGCAATTGACACAGGGCTGCCCAGCAGGCAGGAAAACTGAGGCTTAGATTAGGGAGGGAAGTCCCAAAGTGGCATAGCAAAGTGGCTAGGGCCAGGGTCTCTGGGCTCAGAGAAGCTGCCCAGGGCCACACACTTCATGTCTGATGTCTTCATGCGTGGAAAATCCTTCATGGACAAAAGACAGCTCCAGGCCGGGTGCAGTGGCTCATGCCTGTAATCCCAGCGCTTTGGAAGGCCAAAGCAGACTGTTCACTTGAGGTCAGAAGTTTAAGACCAGCCTGGCCAACATGGTGAAAGCCTGTCTCTACCAAAAATACAAAAATTAGTCGGGCATGCTGGCACGTGCCTGTAGTCCCAGCTACTTGGGAGGCTGAGGCTGGAGAATCACTTGAACCCAGGAGGCGAAGATTGCAGTGAGCCGAGATCAGACCACTGCATTCCAGCCTGGGTGACAGAGTGAGACTGTCTCAAAAGAGGAAGAAAAACATAGCTCCAAATGATAGGGTCTTTAATGGCACTTCTGAAGTCAGATGGCTCTGGGTTCAAATCCTGCTCTGCTTATTTTGAGCCATGAGACCTTGGGCAAGGTCCCTCAATTCTCAGCCACCCTGCTTGCAGAGTAGGGCATGATGGAGCCTTCCTGGCCAAGCTGTTGTGAGATTTCTGAGGGTCAGGACACTACAGCACTGAGCCCTGGGAAATACAGCAGACACTTCCCCATCAGTGCTACCTCAGCTGGGTGACAGTCCCCAAACTGTTCCATGTTCATTCTGCAAACAGTAAGCACCTACTGTGTGCCCACCATGGTACCTCACAGGTAGCACCCAGGGCCAGGCCCATGGAAGCTTAGAGAAGGAAGCCTGAGCCACCTGGAGGGGCTGGCAGTAGGCCTGCCCTTGGAAAGACTGGGTGAGCTAGGAGTGGGAGAAGGGGTGAGGAGGGCATGCCAGGCAGGGGTGCCAGACTAAGCAAAGGCACAGAAGCAGGAAGCAGTCGGACCACCGTGGGACCAGCAGGGATGTGGTGGGAACAGGAAGCTGGAGGGACAGAGAGTGGCCCTGCATTGGGAGGGCCTCAAACGTCAGGACTATCCTCAGGGCCACCGGGAGTCATGGAGGGTTCTTGAGCAGGAGGAGGCTGGCAGAGCTGGGCTTTTAGAGAGCAAATCTTTATGTGTGCTGGCAGGACCCATGGTGAGATGGAGCCAGAGGTTCTTCTCCCTGGATCAATCTGTCCTGGATACAGGTGGAGAAACCGAGGCTCAGGGAGGGAGGAGAAGGCTGGAGCCCTGGGTGCCCCCGGAGGGAGGATATCAGTCCGGGGTCTGAGGCCTGGCCTCTCTGCTTGTCTGCCGGCCATGTGTTTGTCTCTGCAGGAGCGTCACAGGGGCCGGGAGGGTGGGTGTGGCTCCTCGGGTGGGGACTGGGGATAGTTTTGCTCGCCCAGCCTTGTGGCTGCCTGGCCAGTTTGCAACCAAGCATGGCTGTGAGGTCAAGGGAGAGCGTCCTCTCCCAGGAGGCCACCCTGAGAGGGGCATCTCCTCTGCCTTTTCCTGTAACCTCGGAGACGAGGCCACGGGCATTGCGAGGCAAAGGGTGGCTCCGTGGGGGTTCAGGGGTGGCTGTGAGGTTTCTCCAGGCTGCAGACCAAGATGTGTGCCCCAGCGACAGTTAATCCAGCCCCAGGGGCTGAGCGCTGTCTGCACCAGGGCCCGCCCTAGGCGTTCACCTTATCAGCTCTGAATCCTCACAGGCGCTCCAGGAGGTGGGCACAGTTTTACCCCCACTCTACAGAGGAGGAACCCTAGCCGCAGGGTGGTGACCCCAGGGCTGCCCGGCTCCAAGCTCATCTCCTCCCTCCCTGCCACCACCCGCTGAGTTTGGAGTGAGGGACAGATGTGGCAGGGGCTGCGGGTGTCACAGGGGGTTTGGGGCGTCTGAGGCAGTAACAGGGACCCCACAGGAGGCTCTTCCCAAACCTCCTTCCCTTCCCTTCCCTCCACACTGCACAATCTAACCCCATCCACCTTGTAAACAAGACCCAGTGGATTCTCTAGAAAGCAGTAGAGACTCCAGGTGGACTCCAGGAAGAACTGGGGCCCCTACCCCAGACACCTCACGGAGGAAGGAAGAGATTGGGACCACAGAGATTGGGGGGTGAAGCAGAGGTCACCTCTGGCCACACAGCACCCTGACCTTTCCCATCACACCCCCAGCCTGTGTGCAGCCATCTGCATGTGTCTCTCTACTCAACTAGAAGCCCCACGAGGGCAGAGACTTTGATGCCCTTTGATGCTGTGTCCCCTACACAGAGCCCGGGGCTTTTGGCTCTTGAGATAGATTTGTTGAAAGCATGAAGGACCGGCTAGGTGTGGTGGCTCACGCCTGTAATCCCAGCACTTTCGGAGGTCGATGTGGGCAGATCACAAGGTCAGGAGTTCGAGACCATCCTGGCCAATATGGTGAAACCCGTCTCTACTAAAAATGCAAAAATTAGCCGGGCGTGGTGGCGCATGCCTGTAATCCCAGCTACTTGGGAGACTGAGGCAGAAGAATCGCTTGAACTGAGGAGGTGGACGTTGCAGTGAGCCAAGATTGTGCCACTGCACTCCAGCCTGGGCGACAGAGCAAGACTCCGTCTCACCGAAAAAAAAAAAAAGAAAGAAAGAAAGCGAGCAAGCATGAGGGACCCTAGAAGGCAAGGCAGGGGTGGGGATCATGGAGGTCCAGAGAGGTGGGCTTGTCATTGGTTCCTAGGAGCAAAGGCCAGTCCTGGACCGGGTCTCCTGCCCCAGGAAGCTCAATGGCCACACAGCCTCACAGCTGGGCACAGATCTTGGGTTAGCCCACATCCCCCAGCTGCACTCTCCCTCCTGCGGGACACATCCACTTCCCCGCCCCACCCCTGAGGAGACCAGAGGAGGCAGAAGGAGGAGGTTCCATCCTCCAGCCCCTTCCCTGCAGGGTCACTGCATACTGGTGGCCTCCCTCCACTGAAGGCCAGGGTCCTATTGGGGACCCCCTCCACCCAGCCCTGTTCGGCTGTGAACTCAGCTCCTCCCCTGGCCCCTTCAGGCTGAGGGTGGTCACAGCCCACGCCGCTGCCAGCCCTGGGGTTCTGCACTGTCCCCTGGGACTTCCCTATACCCTGACCACACCTGTGTAAACAGACCCTTCATCAAACTCTCCTCTAATGATCCTACTGGAACGTGCCATCTGTTTCCTGCCGGGGCTCTGACTGATACAGACGCATTCAGGTGCCATCTGGGAACACTGGAGACACGCATGGCTGATGGCCAGGCCCCCGTGCCAGGACCCCACAGAGGGCAGATGCACTTATTCTGCTCCTTCTTCCTCCTGGCTGGCCAGGAAGGCCAGGGCTGCAGGAAAGGATGGAGCACGTCCACCTTGGCCACTGGCCACTGAAGGAATTTCAGGCGGCCCCCAGGGACCCACCAGGCGGCTGACCGTCTCCACCACCAGCCCGGAGCCAGGAGCCGTTGATAACAGCAGGACCAGACCCACAGGACAAAGAAAGAGAGAGAACTGGTCTGGGAGTGGGGTGCCCGGGCTCTGCCCCACTCCGGCCAGGTAGCCCTAGGCAAGATCTTTTTTTGTTTGTTTTTTTGAACCGGAGTCTCGCTCTGTTATCCAGATCAGTACAGTGGCGGGTTCAAGCGATTCTCCTGCCTCAGCCTCCTGAGTAGCTGGGAGTGCGCACCACCACACCCAGCTAATGTTTGTACTTTTAGTAGAGATGGGGTTTCACCATGTTGCCCAGGCTGGTCTTGAACTCCTGACCTTGACTGATTCACCCACCTCAGCCTCCCAAAGTGCTCGGATTACAGGTGTGAGCCGCTGCGCCCAGCCAGATCTTTCTGCTTTCTAAGCCTCAGTTTCTTCATCTGCACAAGGGGAGGGCAGCCTGCTGGTCCGGAGGAGTTCAAAAGCCAAGACAAGAATTAGAAGCACACCACCATCCACAAACTTGCCTGGCCCTGTGCCACTTTGCAGTGACTTCATTGGCCGAAGCTGTCATGTCAGCATTTCACAATGGAAGAAACTGAGGCTCAGGTTTGCAATGCCACAGGGCCGGGAAGAGGCAGAGGATAATTCAAATCAAGGCCTTTCTTCCCTTGGCTTCTAAAACATTCTGTCCTGGCTTTCCTCCGACCTTCCTGGTCGTCTTATCTGTCTCCTCACTGGTTCCTCCTTGTTCCCCCAGGGTTGGCCTCTTCCGTCTCTGTTTACCCTCACTCCCAAGTCAGATTTTTCTCACAGACCCTGGGACTCAGGCTCAAATAATGGAAACAAGCATTGAGCGGTCCCGCAGGTCGCTTTGCGGCTGCGATGCCCTCCCCTAACCCCCAGCCTGTCACATTTTCTTTCACTACTCATCACAAGCTCATCTGTTGATTTCGTTACCCACCACCAAGTCTTGGCCCTAAAATATAATGCCCTAGACTGTTGCTACTCAAAGTGTGGTCTTAGTTTCTTCTGGAAGCTTCTTAGAAATGCAGATTTGAGCCAAGCGCAGTGGCTCAAGCCTGCAGTTCCAGCTACTCAGGAG